GGACGAAGAAGGAAGACCGCAGCGTGTTTTCAGAGCAACAAAACCTGGTCCTTCGCAAGGTAAAAGAACTAAATAGTTTCTAAATTCACTAATACTGTATGTGTTCTATGACTGCAGCTTGTTCCTGGACTATACAGTTGTCTGATTATAATTTGGCACTGGATCAATAAGGTATGGCTTTTTCTGAACTCCTAGTAAGAACAGTTTAGAACTGGCAGAGCTATCTAATATAACTAAAGTTAGCTTAGTTTAGGTTTCGTTTTGAAGTATCACTGGATCAATAAGGTATGGCTTTTTCTGAACTCTTTCAGTATAACTAAAGTTAGTTTAGTTTAGGTCTCCTCCTGCAGTAACACTGGATCAATAAGAGATGTCCTTACTGGACCTCTAGGGAGAACAGTTTGGAACTGATAGAGCTATCCAATATAAATAAAGTTAGTTTAGTTTAGGTTTCTTCCTGTGTGGTAACACTGGATCAATAAGAGATGATCCTTGCTGGACTTCTAGGGAGAACAGTTTAGAACTGATAAAGCTATTCAATATAAATACAGTTAGTTTAGTTTAGATTTCCTCCTGTAGTAACACTGGATCAATTAGAGATGTTCCTTTCTGGACCTCTAGGGAGAACAGTTTATAACTGATAGAGCTATCCAGTATAAATAAAATTAGTTTAGTTTAGGTTTCCTCCTGTATGGTAACACTGGATCAATAAGAGGTGATCCTTACTGGACCTCTAGGGAGAACCGTTTGGAACTGATAGAGCTATCCAGTATAAATATAGCTGTAGTTCTACTAAACTGATAGAGCTATTCAGTATAACTAAAGCTAGCTTAATTTATGTTTCTTCTTGTAGTAACACTATAGACAACTCTTGATGGACCTCGAGGGAGAATAGTTTAGAACTGATAAAACTGCTTATTTTAAAGGTCTCTCGCTGGAAATTGATGTGCAACAAAAGCAGTATATAGGAGCACTTACAGTCGAGGCTGGTATTCGAGTATTGTTACATGATCAGGGTCACATGACCTTCCCTTATGAAGAGGGTTTCAGTGTATCACCAGGGATGGCAACATCAGTTGGGATTAAAAAGGTGAGAACAACACCTTTAACAAATGCATAGACAGATTAGGATAACGTCATGTTTACGAATAGAACAAAAGTAACTAAGCATTAGGGTTATGTATAAGAGTCTTTCACTCATTTAGATAATTCTAGAGCTTAGTTACCTTTATTCTATTCTGTACTTTATTCTATTCTGAAGTTGTAAATTGCATATAAACAAACGCTAGCATGTGCATGTGTATTTTTTGCAGACACAGATTATCAGACTGGATAGATTCAACAACAAAAGTTGTCTTCCTCAAGATGAATTACCAATGACCAACATTTATCGACGTTATAAAAATATCACAACTTATTCACAACAGGTAAATATATAAGAGAATCGTAATAAAACTTAATTAATGCATATTTGTTTAAACAAGGCGTCAACTCTGGTCGGTGTTAGCGGAACAGCGATTAATGCAGCATGCGTATTTCATCTCTGTGGTAGGTGTCGATTCCTGTGATGTTATAATTCACCTCAGTTGCATGTCAGAGGAATGCTTCCAGTTTGAGTCTAGCTCCCAAACAGCGCAGATTTTCTCCGAGCACGCACGTAAAAACGCACAAGTTGTAACAAACCTGCAGCAGACTTGTAGCAATGCTGTTCCAACAACTTGTCAACATGATGTGTTCGAACCGTTTGTTTCCAGCTTGTCGACAAGTTGTCAACGGTTTGTTGACAACTTGCTACAGGGTTGTTAAGCTCAACAGACTTGTTACAAGTTGTTCCAACAACTTGTTATCGTCCTGCAATTCAACAAGTTGCGAGTGACGACCTTCCCAGCGGGCAAAATGACGTTTATCCAACGTTGAATCAACGTTGGAAATGACCTTCCAGACGTTGGATAGACGTTGAAAAAGGGTTGACTATGCAAATTGGATCGACGTTACTGTTTCGACGTTGAAACAACGTTGAAA